CCCCGGGTTTCATTTATTTTGCTCATGAACTGAAATTTCAAATACAGCTGTAACCGACACGAATGGTTCAGTCCTTCTTGGTTCTTGCTATCACTACCACTAGCTTTCTGCTGCATTAACAGTTGTTGACAGAGCAATTCGATTGTGGAATGATCTAAAGAGCCACTTGGAAGACAGGAGTATTTAGATATATTTAAATATTTCCTTCGACACCTGGACTAGCCTTGATTGCCACTTCTGACACTGCAAGGTCCTTGCGCTTTTTTCTTTGCCACTTTTTGCTCCTTTTAGACACATCGCTTCTCTTCCAGAGTCTGTCAGGATGTTTACTTAGCAAAGTAGCAATTATCACAGTTGCACGTGCCTGTTTTCACTAGCACCATTCTAGTTATGAGTCAGTTGCAGTTGCCATTATAAGCACGGTTTTGTAGGGACTCGTGATGCAACTGATTGAACGAGCGCTGTGATGAAGATGCCATCAGAACAGTCATCAAGTGGGCCTCCCTCAAACCTGTGCTTGAAACCCACTCCTTTCCCAAAGCCTCCTATAACAGCCTCCTCACCAACTGTTTCTCTGTATCTTCTTGTGTTGGAATTATTGTCCTATATGGTGTCTCTGTCTGTGTCCAACATTAAGCACCTCTGGACAAGGACCTTGTTTTTGTGTTTGCAAAGCATGGCTCACATCTATGGAGGAGGCCTCATTACATAAAAATCATTACCAATGAGGAGGATATGATGGTCCCAAAATGAGATACAAAAGGGTTATCTTTATGGGGACTGTCAGACAACTCCCCTGTCCCTGTCTTTTGAGCAGGGCTAGACAGAACACCAGTGGCTCATATCCAGTGGCTCACTGCAAAGCTATTGTTTGGAGCGCGGCCCCCTGCCTGTTATCTCTTTTTGGTGCCAGTTTGTCAGACAAATGGAATATTTCACATGCAAGTCCTGGAGGATTTCTCCACACGATGGGATTTCTCTTTCTTGCATGCTGATTTCCAGACACGTGGTGGAGGTTGAGGTGGTAAGCTCAAGGACTCTTTTACTTGTTTGTACAGCACCTATCACAATGAAGCCCCCGATCCTTGATTGGGGTTCCTAGATGTTGCCATAATAGATATAACAATAGGCCAGCTGTGCCTGTCTTGAGGGGGGGCTTTATAGCAAAAGAACTATCACTCCCCCACTCTGTTTCTCCAAAAAGTTTTCCCACTCCAATGCATTTAAATGAGGTTAAAAGCAGTCCCCTATTTTTCTCTCTATATACCCCTATTTATAGCTTCTCAGTACTGCTAAATATTCAGCAACCGGTGTGCCATGACCCATATTGAACACCCAGAATGTGTGACATGCATCACTACCCATGACACATCATCACCAGACCTCCAGGACATTGTAACTACCCCATCCAATGCAAATATTACACCAGTTGCGGGGTGCTTTTTGGTTTGCAGCACTGTGCTTTAGTTTTGTGGTTCTTCTTATTTGTTAAATGAACACAGTATGCTCAGCACCGTAAGAGAGACAGTCTCTGCTCAAGGAGCTTACAAAGAACACAGAAACACACTGGGAAGCTTCTATTTTAAAGCATTTCTTTTTATTTTTTCTTGTAGCTCTTTTGATGTCTGTTTCCTTGATCTGCTTTCCTTGATTTCCATATGAAATATTTCCCCTCTCCTCTGTATCTGAGGCCCAGTACTTGAATGTCAGCACTATTATGTAAGTTTCACCGCCTTTACATAAAACCTCACTAAACAGGTTTCATATTTGAAAACATCACACAGGAAAGTTCTTCTCTGGATTATCAGAATATAATGCAATCCGGCTGGGTAAAGCTTTCCTGTCTCTTACCCCGAGCTTCCATACTCAGAGCCTGATTTGGATCGTATGCCAGTACAACTCCTTTGAGTTCCGTGGATTTACTCCTCTTTTATGCTAGCGTAAATCATATCAGAATCGGGTCAGGACAGAATCAGAATTACATCATTCCTCCCAGCAATCGGGTCACCGACAACAAAAAAGCTGAGACAGGCCAGATTTAATTCAAAACATTATTTTCAGATACAGTTCACGGTAAGGGGAGGCACATTCGTCACCATGTGAATGTAAGGGATGTGGTGCTAAGCAAAAATAAGTGCTTCAGCCTCATAGGTGCCTTCGGGTCTGACTCCAAATTCCACATGCAGCCACCCTTGGGTTTTGGGCTGTTTGAAAGCCGGATCCAGCTCATGATCCAAATTTTGTGGATTTGGGTCTCTATTTGCATTCCATCCTCCTAATGGTTCCCACTCCATTCGCCTTACAAACTGCCAGGGAAAAGCATGTCTCCATCCCACACCATGTGGTTAATGACAGAAATTAATCAGATCAAACAGTTAGCTGCAGAAATCCAGAGGGGTTATAGAAACCAATCCATCTGGGGCCTGCACCTGCTTAAGCCAGGGCTGGCTTTGGTCATGTGTGTCACCTCAAGGGTTCTTAGTCTAAGCAGAGAGGCTAAGGGCTGATTGGGCTGGGGAGCCTGAGTTTTTGGGATGAGGGCATTTGTCCAGTAGGACCTGGCCTGAGACCCCCAACTCATTTCTCACCAACCCCCCAATAGACTTCAGTGCAACAACTTTCTACCATCTGCCCCATGAGCCAGGAGCCTGAGAGGAAAGGCTTTGTATCCCCGACTAATTCACTGATCTGCCCTGGTCCAATTAAGAGAAAACTTGTACTTTACCCAGTAACTGTTCCTCCAGCAACACTACCCACCCAGCCCCAGGACAGGTGCAGGTGTTTGAAGATAGTGATAATTAGCTGTTTGCTTTTCTCTGTAGGCAGCGGGGAGATTTACACATCCAGGCAAGCTGCATTTTCTTGCTGACTTTGCAGTGTGCAGTAGGAAGCTTTATTAGTTGATCAATTTCATATTGGAGGGAGAGCAGGACTGGGCCTCTCCCCTAACAGAGCTATTTACAGACCACACAGCTGGCTTAGTAGATGCTTCCTCATATCTTTATCTAGTTCTTTTGCTGGCTCTCCTCCCAAGCATTTAATGCCAGCTCCTTTAACAAGACTTGTAGTTTAGAAGGTTCATGGTCCAGCAAACATAAGAAAATACCAATTGAGCATAAATCAATTTACTCTGTGAACTTGGGAGTTCTTTTCCCCTTAAAAGACATTTCTGCAAGCAACAGATAAATGAGTCCCTTTTTTTCTCACCCATCTTTCATCAGCTTCTTTGAGACCAAGGAGCCTGTTCGTATCTCAATGCTAATGCATAAGGCTTAATATCCTGCTGAACAATGGACAAATGCAGGGATCAGCAGAGAGAGAATTAAAGAACAATAAATCCTCAATCAAAAATAATGAGAAGCTTTTATCACCTTCTAAACAACGTTTTGGTCTGTCAGCAGTAATTTATAGTGTTGATATCATGCATCAACTTAGTTGTAGGTTTCTGAGAGGATCAAGAAATTCATAGACTCCATGTATGAAAGATGAAACATTAAAATCCCAATCCCTGGGTATTAAAACCCCAAGATTAAAGCACAGACATTTCCCCTCTATGCTCTCGGGTACACATTTGCTTTAACCATTTTCCACAACCAGCTAGGTGTTCAGGCAAATGAAGAACAAAAATAAAGCTTTCACATTTGTAAAGAAAAGATAAGAAACCAGAGTATCATGCCTCAGTTCCTAAGTGTTGAATGGGAGCTGTCACTGTGCATAGAAACGTAGAAGGCAGTAGAAAGTGGAATTGCCAGACACCCAGAGCCAGCCTGGACTGTTGCCAGTCATCCATTCGGGGAGCCCAGAACACAAAGTGAAATCTCACAATTGATTGGACTTAACAGCTGTATTGGTCCCAGGATATGTGCGAGACGAGGTGTGTGAGGTAACATCTTTTACTGGACCAACTTCTGCTGGTGAAAGAGACTAGATTTCAAGGGCCACAGAGCTCTTCTTCAGGTTGACCATACTGACACACAAGGTTTAAAAGCAAACGTTTATTGCTACCGAGCAAAAATCAACTCATTGCAGGTGGTAGGCCAGGAGGAAATCTACAGTGATAAAATATATTACTTCACCCATGTTGTCTCTCTACAGTGACCAAACGCTTTCTGCATCTTAATGCAAATGTTATATTTTACCATGAAGTTCTGTTACCCAGTTTAAATGTTCAAGGTCCCTGATATGTCCATTGTATATACCGATCCCATAGCACATGAAGAAACTGAGCGGGCTGTAAATGGACCGTCATTCCCGTTGTAAATTTTGAACACGCTGAACTGCACTAGATGCACACACCCACACCCTAACAGAAGGTCCTGACTTATGGAAGCTGTTCTAAATGCTGTAGTTTGGCTCCGCGTTCCAGCTGCTGAGGACACAAAACAAGAAACAAGACAATGAGCCAGTCAATCTTTCAGATTCCTTCTGACTCCAAATTTATACTCGTGCTCCTCTTGCTGGGTCCAATTAACAGCACATGGAGAAAGCAGATACACGGACCTGCCCCAGAATTCAGGATCCAAATTGCTGAACTTTAAGGAAGTTTGGATCCAAATTTGACTTACGATTGGACTGAGTTTATGATTTGGGCACTGAAGCTTTATGGTAGAACTATGAATATGGTACAGAGCTATGAAGATATTTTCAAAGGGAAGAATGTTGGTGATGAGTAATGATCCCCTGGAATCACAGATCGGGGAATCTGCACATTGTTCTTTCTGTGTGACCAGACAGCCTAGTTTATGCTCTACTAAGATATGTGGCAGGGGCTTTTAAAGGACACAGAAGTAACGAAGGGAAGGCAGGTAACTACAGGCTGATTTTTAGGGATGCTGAGCACTCCCAGCTCCCATGGACTTCAATTGGAGTTGTGGGCAACCAGCGTCTTTGCAGATCAGGTCCCAAATGTCAGCACAGGAGATTTTACACTAGGATCCCTCTCAAACTTAGGACACTAACCCATATGCTACGCCTCAGGAAAAACAAGACAGAGCCAAGAGGAGGCTTCTAAAGGAGATATTTAATTTCTGAACTGATCAGTTACAGACACTGGCATCACTTAATCTAAAAGGTGACAGGTCCTTTATTCAGAACATATATACTCTGCATGGCTGGCCTGCAGGAGAGAGACAGCCAGCAGAACAGCTGCACACAGGGCATAACTGGGCTAACTTTAACAGAAGAGTTTCATTCCCACAACATGTGCACAGAGGGTGATGCATGGTTAGCTCTGCTGTCAGAGGGACTCAGCGTTACCAGCAGCAGATCAAGGCCTGGCCTCCGGTTTGCCACTGTGGTGCTCAGGTGGCGTGTATTTCCCTTCCTTTATCAGCTGCTTCTTCTGCGCCACAATTGTCTTCAGACGCATTATCTGCCAAAGACAAATGAGTTAAGGACTAAAGATTGGTCCTGCTTTGAGCAGGGGGTTGGACTAGATGATCTCCTGAGGTCCCTTCCAACCCTGATATTCTATGATTTTGTAGCAGGAAAAGAGGCCACTAGAGAAGCAGCGGGAACAGTGAAGCTTACTTCAAAGCCTCGCGGGTCAGGACCCTGGCACAAATGCACTAGGACATTCTAGTTTTAAAGTAAAAACAGTATTACCACATCCCCTCCCAACAGGGTATAATTGCAATGAGAATCTATATAACAACGTGTGCATTGCTCCCCTGGATGGAATGAAAAACGTGAACAACTAAATATAGTCGTGTATCCCAACAGTGGCTGCAGCACCACACACATGCATGAACATTTCATGGGTTACAGATTTCCACTTTCCTTTCCACCGTCGTTTGTAACCACTCCCAGGAAAACTTTAAACTAGAATTTGTTTCCTTACCAATGTTATTTTCCCCCCCTCCCCCATCAGCCACACACACACTTGTTATTATGGATGAAGAGCTGCATATAGCTTTTTAGGAGCACTGAGGGGTTTTTTATTATAAAAAAAGAAAAACCAATAAAAACATTACAAACAAGTAAATAAAGTGGGCCACAGTATGGGGGATATTTGAGTAACCCAGTATATTTTGTGTTGCAATGAAAACTGCATCCAAACAGACTTCTCCATGAAGGGAGTCACTAATGTGCCTAAGTACAAGGCACCATGCACACACTTGCAACCACTAGAGAAAGTCTTGCCTTTACACCGTAACCCTTCAGGACAAGGATTATCTTTTCTATGTTTGTACAGCACCTAGCAAAAATGGGGCTCCAGTCCCAACTGGGGTCTTTCAGCTACCATATGATAAACATTTATTACTAAGAATCACAGGGTTTGAGTTAAGATACAACTTTCATAGAAACCACAGGGTAAATTCAGAGTTGAGAGTTCACCCCACAGCCTTTAACCTCTTTTGTTATTTGCTTACAATGCTCTGAATAAGCAATAACACTAAACTTCCTTCCACCTTACTACTTCTCTTGAAGTCCCTTTCTGCCCTGTGTCCTCAATAACTTGTCAGTGATGGCCCCGTTACACATAAGCTGCCCTTGTAAACGTATCTGTCACTGTTTTGCCATAAGACAAGACAGAATTAACCTTATCTAAGCAGCTTCAGCGTTGTAATGGCTCACGTTCGTAAACCATTTTGAAAATGTACAGTGCTATATAACCACTAAATATCCTTCTAGGGAAACTATTTTTTATAACATATGCTCAGTTACCTGTTACTAACTGATGTGTGTATCAGCTTCATGGGCAACGTTTTTGTTTATAACAACTCCACGGTACAAGCACATTGTGACTACAGTAGGATTAGAGACCTTGGAGTCAGGAAACAGGGAAACAGTATGACAAACTGGGAAATATAACTCAGAATGGCCTATCCGATATCCCTAATTACTAGAGTCCTTGGCATCCTTTTAAGAAGACAGGTCTACCCATCAAAGATCCCAAATCCATGTTTTCCTTATTGAATCATGGATTATTGCATTGGGGAGCAGGAAGCTGGGTGAATCTCAGCTCAAGTTCTTGGAAAGTAGACAGCATGCTGCCATGTTCCACAAGCTCTGTAGCTCAGTTAGCCAAGGCAGGAATGTCACCTGACATACTGGGTTTCCTGCTGAGCTGACCAATCTGTTGCCTCAGTGAAAGAGAACTGAAGAGAGCATTTTTTTGAGTGATCTGGTTTATAAATAAACACAAACACTGTCAAGGTTTGAAGAGTTCCATGTCTGAATTCAACTACAAGGTTATTTGCTCAGACTTTACAATGTACTCAACTCAACAATAACCAGTCACTGACTAGGAACAAAATCTCCAAGAAAAAAAAAAAGCTTTGAGAGTCAGACATAGGACTAATCCACTGATGATATTCTGCCCTGCTGTCTCTACAGAATACTAAATTTCTCACTGCATGCTAACCATGCATTTCTACGGCCGAATTCTGCTCTCAGGCTCCCGCTGAAGTCACTAGGAATCTCAGACTTTTATCTGGAGGTAGAAGTTGGGCCCTAGGGGTTAGTGACAGGTGTATGGTTATTGTTTTTTGTACTGGACTGAAAATTTTGCATAGCCCTTATTATTTATCCCAGTGTTCACACTGTGTGTAATATACATTCCCTCGAATCTTCTTACCGTTTTGTGCCTATTAATACATTCTTGGAAGTCTTCATATTCTGGTCTGCATTCCTTGCGTGCACGAATCTGCCCAATGTCACTGGCACACTCAATCCATTCCTTCTCAAAGGCATGGCACAGAGCTGCCCGTTTGTAGGGCTGCTCTGAGCTTTGATGCAGCATCCATTTGTCCGCATTGATTCCCAGCTGATCTTGCAGATTCCAAAATGGCATGGCTGAGCAGGAAGTGAGGATAGAGATAAAGTATAGTGGTTATAAGACTAGTCTAGAGATTTAGCTCAGTAAAACAGAAGCATATGAAAGCAGGTATTTCAATCAATGCTTTTCAGTGCACAATTTAATACTTTTCCCAAGTGATTCATTTAAGTTTTATTTTCACAAAAACAGAAGCAAGAGTTAAACATTCATCCAACATATATTATCTATTTTTTGCGGGAAGGCAGGTAGATATAATAATATAAGCTAACCTCTTTAGCATATGAACAGAGAGGAAAATGTTCTGGAATCATTTTTTAAAACTATAAAAATGTCCACTCAATGGCATTTCTATGGATGGCTCCTGTTGTACACAAGGTTCATTCATAATAAAATGCATTGATAAAATAGTATTTCACACCAGACTCAGTTAAAGTTATACACGGACCTGCTTTTATTTATATATATATATATATATATACACACACATACATACACACACACACACACGTACTCAGATATTTTTTTATATACAAACCTTTTGATTGTATGATCTTGGAGGTTATTATTCACAAGCCCTTGTAAATCTCTTCATTCTCCCTGTCTCTGATCTCCCACCTAGTGTAGGCAGGCCAGAGGGCAATTGCACTCAAAAGCGTTGGATGTGAGTTAAACATACTTTATGACTGCATTTTTGCAATAGATCTCCATGAATTTTCAACACCTTTTTTATATGTGACATGTAGGATGTTGGTACCTTCCTCTGTTTGCATTTCTCTGCATGTTCTTAGGTTTGCCTGATCTTTAACAATTGTGACACGGTACAGTGTGGCTCTGGTCTGTAAGATAAGCCCTGTGTTCTTACTCACTTTTTTTCTCAGGCTAAGTTTCCACTGAAGTCACAGGGAATTTAACCCAATAATGATTGCTGTATTTGGCCTCAAGTGTGCATTCTATGTCTATTTACACTATTGGCTATTAAGGGAACAGACTATACTATATAAATTCTAAATTGTATAATTGTACTGTTAATAACTTTTACAACCATCTACCATATAGTTAAACACAGCCTTAGTTACAACAGCATGCACGACGGCAATAAGCTTGCTAGTGAAATGTTTCATGATTGAAATATTGTTAACAGTCTTGTGAAAGAATCAAGGCAGAGCTATTGGTGACCAATGTTTTAGCCCCAAAGTCAGTGAGGAATTGTTTACTGGATTTATTACCAGTGCCAACACAACACCCCCTATATTTTTCTGCAGCAACTGATGCCTCAAATAAAAGGAAAAGAAAGATGTTTCTAATGTGCTTGGGATACTTTATCACATCAAATGGTGTTCAATACAACTTGCTTGATTTTTATGAAGATAATGATGAATCTGCAAGTGGCATTCATCACGCTCTAAAGAACTGCCTGGAGAAACACCAGCTTAACGTTAATTGTATTACTGCATACTTTGCTGATAATACACCAAGTTGTGTTTGCCATAGTTCATAGGTGCATCAGTTATGTGCTGAAAATGACTGCACTCTGAAGGCAAACTGCCTTGCATACACAACCCATGATACCTGCAAACATGCTAGTGGTCCGCTGTCAGTTATTGTAGAAATGATTGTGTTGGAAGATTTACAACCACGTTGTTGTGCCCGCACCATGCAGAGAAGGTTTTTTCTGAGTTTACTGAAATTGAATGGAAAGAAGTACTCGAGACATGTGAGTAGAAGATGGCTATTCCTTAACCCAGCAGCTGACCGCCTTTTGAGAAACTGGCCTGTAATTAAAGCCTGCTTCAAGTCATTAGCTGATGCTTGCCCAGTAACTTTAAATAAAGTTTTCACTGAAGATGGCGTGTATACCTGCATTGTGGAAATTTACAGGTGTTCTCCCCCTGCCCCCAAGCGTGGCTTGTATCGACAATCTTGTGAGGAAGTTAGAAGAATCAAAGCTCTGCATTACTGATGTGTACACAGAGACGTACCATTTTAAGATTTTTTTTTAAGATTCCACACCAAACTGATGGAAAAACACAACCAGAACAAAAGGTGAACATAAAGCAATACTTCACTAAGTTTTATGACCCTATGTTTTTGTATATTGATAACTAGTTTGATTTCTCTTCAGACAGTGTAATGATGAACCTAAAGCCCATTGAGCAATATGAGAAGCTTAGCTTAGCTTCTCAGACCTTAAGACTGTAATGGAAGCACTCAAAAAGAAGGAAATCATAAACACGTATCAGCCGTATGAGTTCTGCACCCAGCTGAGATGTGATTGAAATATCAAGACATCACATTTCCAAACCTGTCAACAAAAAGTGGGTATGTTTCAGAAGCATGGAAACAAAACCTGAAAAACCTTGTTCCCAGTTGTGTCTTTTGTACTTACTGTACCAGAGATGCCCTTATAGACATAATATTATTCCTTAATGGGAAATAAATGATTTGACAAACAGAACAGATGCAACGTAGATTTAATTAAAATGAAACTCAATATATGGATAAACTTCCAGTTATCCTTCAAAGATTTCTTCATCTCTGAAGAACAGGATCAGGAGTTGCTGAGTGCTGCAAAAAGCAGCAAGAAATACCACTAGCGAATACAGGCGAGTACTGCTAATTATTAGTAATAGTAACAACCAGAAAGCTACAACCAACTCTAGTTTCACAGGTTGCCTTGCCTGAAAAAGAACCAACATCTCTCCACAATGGGTGGGGGTGAAGGAGGAGACTAAGAAAATTGTTTGGGGCACCCCCTCCCACACACTCCCGGGGGGCGGGGCCAGGAGCTGTGGCACCCCCCCGGGGGGCGGGGCCAGGAGCTGGGGCACCCCCCCCCGGGGGGCGGGGCCAGGAGCTGGGGCAACCCCTCCCACACACCCTCGGGGGGCGGGACGAAGCACAGGTGGGGGTTGGGCCAACTCCCCCCTCCACATACACCCCCGGCGGCAGAAACACAGGGCGGGGCGGGAGCGTGGGGCGGGCCTGCAGCCCCACAGACACCCACCCCGCGGCTGCGCGGGGGGTGGGGAGGGAGAGCCGGAGTCTGACCGCCCAGCTCATTGGGCCCGGCCCCCCACAACCCGGCGAGCAGGGGAGGGGCTCCCCAGAACCAGAGGCCGGGCCCGACACCCCGGAACAGACCCACCCCACATTGCAACCCAGGAGCTTCACCTGCGACCCGCCGCCGCGCCCTCCGCCGTCGTCCTTTCGGGGCTTTTACGACACTCGCTGCCGTCAACCGCGCCCTTCGCACGCCACCCTCGCTGTGCTTTACAGCTCGCAGTCACCTCACGGGGGAGGAATCATAGAGAAATAAAGAGAGAGCGTCTCTTGCGACCTGGCGGGGAACCAGTCGTCTCCCCAGTACACCTCCAGCGCCACCTGCAGGCTGGGTGGTGACAGTTCCCCTGTGTCCCCTGCAGACTGGAGGGCTGACCTCCCTAGGGCCTCCTGCAGACTAGAGGGATGACAGTTCCCTGGTGTCCCCTGCCAGCTGGAGGAGTCATGCATTATCCACACCCTCCAGCCCTCTGTGTCTTTGTGGGGTGTCATATTTCTTCTCCCACAACCCCCATATCTCACTGGTCAGCAGCAAGTTACAGTGCAACATGACTGTGGTCTGGGAGACGCATAACCAATCACCGAACCGTGGGGCTCCCACCAGTCATGCCGGCTCACTTGTGATTCAGAGTTATATGCATGACCCGTTCCAAATGGGCCTGAAACACCTCTGGCCCTAGTACTCTCAGACACAGAGCAGGAGATAGTGTCCTGGGTTCTCATGCACCAAAGGGGACTGGTATCCAGCAGTCAGAGCAGCAGGGAGTGGGAATCAGAACTCCTGGTTTCTACTGCCTGATCTGGGAAATGCGTAGATCGACTGGAATAGGGGGTGGGAACGGATGGGTTCTCTTCCTGGTTCTGCTGCTCGCTTTCTCTGTGACCTTGGAGGAGTCTCACTAATCTCTATTTCTCATCAGTAAAATGGAGATAATTTTCTTTCTTCACAGGCATGTTGAGAAGGTTAATGAGGGTTCGAGAAGCACTTTGTGTTGCTCAGCTGGAAGGAGGTAGAGCAGCATTAGGTGTTATTGTACAGATATGTGTGTGTTGAAGGGATAGTCTTGGGGATTGGCTTTTTTATTTTTTTTCCGTTAGGGTTTCCCAAGGGCCAGTAGACAGACACTTGTTAGCAGTTGAAGAACCACCACCTATCAATCCATCAATTATCAGAGATGGGATGATGTAACGATTCCTTAGACCTTGGATCCTTCCTGAAATGATATAAGTGTATCCAGAAAATATCTAGCTCCCAACTCACTGCTTTCTGTTCCCAACCTCTGCATCCCTAGTGGCTTTATTCCAGACCTCTGGGCACAGAGTAGCCCATTGTCAGTCTGTGTTAGTTTTGTTGAACGTGACAGTTCTTACCAATGTTCAAAGCCCTGGTAATTGTCAGTTTAGGGTTGATCTCATTTCTGTTTGATACTCCTGGATCCCCTTTTGAGAGCAGTGATTAATTCCCAGGAAAGATCCGGCACGTCGATTAATCATTATTGCTTAAACATAAAAACAGCCAGTGGAATGTTGTAGTCACTGTTTAGCAAGGCATCAGCATTGATCTCCAATTTAAACCATGTAGGAGTTTCCTGTTTTGAGACCCAAACGGGGCTCTCCCATCCCTCAAGCCATGTGGGCTTGGGGAAGAAAGATTCCAGAACAAACCAACTCCAGAGCCCAGAGCAACTCTCAAGTCAGCCAAAGCAGACACAGAAGCAGCCGCAGTGGGTCCTGCAGCATGGAGGGAGTAATAGGGAAAGACAGAGCTCAGCCAGGGCTAACGCTCCATGCCAGGTGCACCCCAACGCAAAGCTATGCAGGGGTGACTCCCACCTTCTAGAGGTACTTGGGCCATTGTAGTACCCCTCCAACACACCAAGCCCTCTGTGGGGAAGAAAAATTGCAGGAAGGAGCTAATCCTACCCCCAGAGACCTGCAACTGTCAACATGGCAGGAGCAAACCTAGAAGCAGGATCAGCAGCAAGGATTCTGCTGATGTGACCAGGCTGCTTTCTACAGTTTTGACTCTGGAGAGTTCTCTCTCATGTGCTGATTAGCTGTTTGCTCCAGCCCCCTCCCTCAGTCCAACCCTCACTTCAGCTTCAGTCCACCTGCCCTGAGCATGCTGTCCAGCATACCCCCCTCCCTTGTGCTATTCCCCTTCTCTCTCTTCATCTAAACACCACTACCACCTGTCATTCTGCTAATGTGTTACAGCCCTTTTCCACAGCTTTGTCTGTCACATCAGCATTTCAGAGCAGTGACTGTCTATTACTCTATTTGTCCAGCACCTAGCAGCTTGGGGCCCTGCTTTCCATAACCCCTTAAGCACAGCCATCATCAAAATAATAATAAATACTAAACCTAGTTTTAATGCAGAAGCGAGTTTCCCTGCAACTATGGTGGATTCCAGATGGTAGGATTCTACCTGCTAGCAGGTCCCTTAAAAACGGACTTGTTCCTGTGGCTGATCCAGGAGACTTACGGTCTGCTGCAAAGGACCTCACCCACTCTTGATCTGTATCGTGTGGAAATGCTGACTCTACAGCGGAGAGATCTTATTTCATTAGTTTAATAAAAAGAGATAGTCAGTGGCCCAGTCTCCAGCCTTGAAGGGACCTGATCCTGCAGTGGCCACGGCAGTAGCACTGGAATGAACGGATCAGTGCGTATGTGTCACCACTGCCCACTGTTGGTGGGACTCTGAACTGCACCATTCTCAGTCGTGTGTCCAACACTATTAGCAGCTGATTGAGAGTCCCCCTTAGCTCAAGTGCTAGGAATTTGTGCTTTTAGAACAGGGGATTTGATTTCGATGCCTACTGTTGCACAGAAATTCCAAGTAGACAGGATATGTGGTTCCATGACAATTAGGCGTTTGCCACATATTTGTCCCAAAAATCAAACCTTGCATAGTACGTTGTTTTGTTACAGTGTTGGATATCTACAAGACAGCTCTCCCTATTCTTGTATTCAGCAGGACTACTCATGTACTTAAAAGAGTTCCAGAATAGGGACTTAGAAAGGCATTACTGCTGCCAGTTTCATGGCATTGGCAGTTCCTGTCCTGATTATAACAAGCAAAAATCAAGTGCAAGTCCCAACCGGGCCATGAAGTCTATGGTCTGGATTTTCAGAACAGTACAGCATCCAGCTGCTCCCGTCCAGTTAGGTGCCCAACTGGCAGCAAAAGCTCTTTTGAAAATCTGTCTCTGTGAGACACACAGACAGTCGGTGGACCACGATGGATCAACTGTTGATTTTAATCACTAACTGTTACCCCTTTAGTTACTTCCTCCCCCCCTGAAAGAAAAAAAGGTTGTTCTCATTGGTTTGATAGCTCACCTTGCCTGGCTCAAGCAAAGCTGGCTCAGTGCTGGTTTTTTTAAACATTTCTTCATTAAAGGTTTAAAACCAGAAGTGGGTATAGGCTACGACCATTAAATAGAACAATATACTGAGCAAAAACCAGTCGGAGAACACTTCAATCTCTTTGGTCACTCGATTACAGACCTAAAAGTGGCCATTCTTCAACAAAAAAACTTCAAAAACAGACTCCAACAAGAGACTGCTGAATTGGAATTAATTTGCAAACTAGATACAATTTAGGCTTGAATAAAGACTGGGAGTGGATGGGTCATTACACAAAGTAAAACTATTTCCCCATGTTTATTTCCCCCCGCCCCCGCTGTTTCTCAGATGTTCTTTCAACTGCTGGAAATGGCCCACCCTGATTATCACTACAAAAGGTCCCCCCACCCCCGTCTCCTGCTGGTAATAGCTCACCTTACCGGATCACTCTCATTACAGTGTGTATGGTAACGCCCATTGTTTCATGTTCTCTGTGTATATAAATCTCCCCACTGTATTTTCCACTGAATGCATCCGATGAAGTGAGCTGTAGCTCACGAAAGCTTATGCTCAAATAAATATGTTAGTCTCTAAGGTGCCACAAGTCCTCCTTTTCTTTTTGCGGATACAGACTAACATGGCTGCTACTCTGAAACCTACACTGGGCATGCATTCGATCTGGCCTATCCTATGATCTACCAGTAGATGGTGCCAGAGCAGTTTAAAAGGCCCTGCCTCTCTCCCTGGGAGCCTGGATTGGATGCACAGCACTACAATTTGCTCCCTGTGTAGCTTGTATGTGTCTTGATGACACTGTCATTGCCCTGGTCTACACTAGGACTTTAGGTCAAATTTAGCAGCGTTAAATCGATGTAAACCTGCACCCGTCCACATGATGAAGCCCTTCTTTTCGACTTAAAGGGCTCTTAAAATCGATTTCCTTACTCCACCCCTGACAAGTGGATTAGCGCTTAAATTAGCCTTGCTGGGTCGAATTTGGGGTACTGTGGACACAATTTGACGGTATTGGCCTCCGGGAGCTATCCCAGAGTGCTCCATTGTGACTGCTCTGGACACCACTCTCAACTCAGATGCACTGGCCAGGTAGACAGGAAAAGAACCGCGAACTTTTGAATCTCATTTCCTGTTTGGCCAGCGTGGCAAGCTGCAGGTGACCATGCAGAGCTCATCAGCAGAGGTGACCATGATGGAGTCCCAGAATTGCAAAAGAGCTCCAGCATGGACTAAACGGGAGGTACGGGATCTGATCGCTGTATGGGGAGAGGAATCCGTGCTATCAGAACTCCGTTCCAGTTTTCGAAATGCCAAAACCTTAGTCAAAATCTCCCAGGGCATGAAGGACAGAGGCCATAACAGGGACCCGAAGCAATGCCACGTGAAACTTAAGGAGCTGAGGCAAGCCTACCAGAAAACCAGAGAGGTGAACGGGCGCTCCGGGTCAGAGCCCCAAACATGCCGCTTCTATGGTGAGCTGCATGCCATTTTAGGGGGTTCAGCCACCACTACCCCAGCCGTGTTGTTTGACTCCTTCAATGGAGATGGAGGCAACACAGAAGCAGGTTTTGGGGATGAAGAAGATGATGATAAGGTTGTAGATAGCTCACAGCAAGCAAGCAGAGAAACCAGTTTTCCCGACAGCCAGGAACTGTTCCTCACCCTGGACCTGGAGCCAGTACTCCCCAAACCCACCCAAGGCTGCCTCCTGGACCCGGCAGGTGGAGAAGGGACGTCCGGTGAGTGTACCTTTTAAAATACTATACATGGTTTAAAAGCAAGCATGTGAAAGGATTAATTTGCCCTGGCATTCGCGGCTCTCGTGGATGTACTCCCAAATCCTTTGCAAAAGCCTCTGGGGAGGGCAGCCTTATTGCGTCCTTCATGGTAGGACACTTTACCACTCCAGGCCAGTAGCACGTACTCGGGAATCATTGTACAACAAAGCATTGCAGTGTATGTTTGCTGATGTTCAAACAACATCCGTTCTTTATCTCTCTGTGTTATCCTCAGGAGAGTGAGATATAATTCATGGTCACCTGGTTGAAATAGAGTGCTTTTCTTCAGGGGACACTCAGAGGTGCCCGTTCCTGCTGGGCTGTTAGCCTGTGCTGAACAGAAATGTTCCCCGCTGTTTGCCACGGGGAGGGTTGAGGGGGTAGCCACGCGGTGGGGGGAGGCAAAATGCGACCTTGTAATGAAAGCACATATGCTATGTATGTAATGTTAACAGCAAGGTTTACCCTGAAAGAGTGTAGCCATTGTTTTATAAAATGTGTCTTTTTAAATACCACTTTCCCTTTTTTTTTCCTCCACCAGCTGCATGTGTTTCAATGATCACAGGATCTTCTCCTTCCCAGAGGCTAGTGAAGATTAGAAAGAAAAAAAAATGCACTTGTGATGAAATGTTCTCTGAGCTCATGCTGTCCTCCCACACTGACGGAGCACAGACGAATGCGTGGAGGTAAATAATGTCAGAGTGCAGGAAAGCACAAAATGACCGGGAGGAGAGGTGGCGGGCTGAAGAGAGAGCTGAAGCTCAAATGTGGCGGCAGCATGATGAGAGGAGGCAGGATTCAATGCTGAGGCTGCTGGAGGATCAAACCAATATGTTTCAGGGTATGGGTGAGCTGCAGCAAAGGCAGCTGGAGCACAGAGAGCCGCTACAGCCCCTGGGTAACCAACCACCCTCCTCCCCAACTTCCATAGGCTCCTCACCCAGATGCCCAAGAATGCGGTGGGGGGGCCTCCGGCCAACCAGCCACTCCACCACAGAGGATTGCCCAAAAAATAGAAGGCTGGCATTCAATAAATTTTAAAGTTGTAAACTTTTAAAGTGCTGGGGGGCATTTTCCTTCCCTCCTCCATCACCCCTCCTGGGCTACCTTGGTAGTCATCCCCCTATTTGTGTGATGAATGAATAAAGAATGCATGAATGTGAAGCAACAGTGACTTTATTGCCTCTGCAAGCGGTGATCGAAGGGAGGAGGGGAGGGTGGTTAGCTTACACGGAAGTAGAGTGAACCAAGGGGCGGGGGGTTTCATCAAGGAGAAACAAACAGAATTTTCACACTGTAGCCTGTCCAGTCGTGAAACTGGTTTTCAAAGCTTCTCTGATGCGTACCATGCCCTCCTGTGCTCTTCTAATACCGCCCTGGTGTCTGGCTGCGCCTAGCCAGCAGCCAGGCAATTTGCCTCAACCTCCCACCCCGCCATAAACATCTCCCCCTTACTCTCACAGATATTGTGGAGCGCACAGCAAGCAGTAATAACAGTGGGAATATTGGTTTCGCTGAGGTCTAAGCGAGTCAGTAAACTGCGCCAGCGCGCCTTTAAACATCCAAATGCACATTCTACCACCATTCTGCACTTGCTCAGCCTGTAGTTGAACAGCTCCTGACTACTGTCCAGGCTGCCTGTGTACGGCTTCATGAGCCATGGCATTAAGGGGTAGGCTGGGTCCCCAAGGATAACTATAGGCATTTCAACATCCCCAACAGTTATTTTCTGGTCTGGGAATAAAGGCCCTTCCTGCAGCTTTTGAAACAGACCAGAGTTCCTGAAGATGCGAGCGTCATGTACCTTTCCCGGCCATCCCACGTTGATGTTGGTGAAACGTCCCTTGTGATCCACCAGAGCTTGCAGCACTATTGAAAAGTACCCCTTGCGGTTTATGTACTCGCCGGCTTGGTGCTCCAGTGCCAAGATAGGGATATGGGTTCCGTCTATGGCCCCACCACAGTTAGGGAATCCCTTTGCAGCAAAGCCATCCACTATGACCTTCACATTTCCCAGGGTCACTACCCTTGATATCAGCAGATCTTTGATTGCGTGGGCTACTTGCATCACAGCAGCCCCCATAGTAGATTTGCCCACTCCAAATTGATTCCCAACTGACCGGTAGCTGTCTGGCGTTGCAAGTTTCCACAGGGCTATCACCACTCGCTTCTCAACTGTGAAGGCTGCTCTCATCTTGGTATTCATGCGCTTCAGGGCAGGGGAAAGCAAGTCACAAAGCTTCATGAAAGTGCCCTTACGCATGCGAAAGTTTCACAGCCACTGGGAATCGTCCCAGACCTGCAACACTATGCAGTCCCACAAGTCTGTGCTTGTTTCCCCGAGCCCAGAATTGGCATTCCACCGCATGAACCTGCCCCATTAGCATCATGATGCATGCATTGGCAGGGCCCATGCTTTCAGAGAAATCTGTGTCCATGTCCTGATCACTCACGTGACCGTGCTGATGTCGCCTACTCGCCTGGTATCGCTCTGCCAGGTTCTGGTGCTGCATACCCTAACCTTCTATATACTGCTGGATAATGCATGTGGTGTTTAATGTGCTCCTAATTGCCAAAGTGAGCTGAGCGGCCTCCATGCTTGCCTTGGTATGGCGTCCGCACAGAAAAAAGGCGTGGAATGATTGTCTGCTGTTGCTCTGATGGAGGGATGGGCGACTGACGACATGGCTTACAGGGAATTAAAATCAACAAAGAGGGTGGCTTTACATCAAGGAGTATTTCAGGCAGGACTTCACGGAGGGTTCCAATAAGAAATGGTGCACCTAAGTAATTGTTCTTATTGGAACAAGCAGGTTGGTCTGGCCTCTGATTGATACATGGCTAGATTTACCTCACTGCACCTTCTCTGTGGGTGACTGCAGCGTGACCTAGAGGAATGAGTCCCCTAGACGGGGGGCAGGATGGGGAGGGGGAGCAAATGAGTACAAAACAAATCTGATCTATTTCTTGTTTTGATCCACTCCATCTATCTTTTACATCTTTGGCTGGCAACAGACGGTGCAGAAGGACTGCAAGCCATCCACATCTCATGGCTGCTCGGCAGAAGATGGTACAGTAGGACTGCTAGCAATCCGTATCACCTGCCTGCTCACCATAAGATGGTTCAATAGGACTGAGTGCAGGACTAAAGAGAATGACCTGGTCAAGTCACTTCTAATGTAGTCCCTGCACCCATGTCTGCCCAGGGGCTCCTGGCTGACATGGCCAGGAGCACCTCGGACATGAAGATGACGGCGACCAGTCCTATTGTACCGTCTGCTGCCACAAGGCAATGGGTTGCTGCTGCTGAGTAGCAATGCAGTACCACATCTGCCAGCACCCAGGAGACATACGGTGACGGTCACCTGAGCGGGCTCCATGCTTGCCGTGGTATGACGTCTGTACAGGTAACTCAAGAAAAAAGGCACGAAACGATTGTCTGCTGTTGCTTTCACGGAGGGAGGGAACGGGGGCCTGACGATATGTACCCAGAACCACCCGCGACAATGTTTTAGCCCCATCAGACATTGGGATCTCAACCCAGAATTCCAATGGGCAGCGGAGACTGCGGGATAGCTGCCCACAGTGCAACGCTCCGGCAGTCGACTCTAGCCTCGGTACTTTGGAAGCACTCCGCCGAGTTAATGCACTTAGAGCATTTTCTGTGGGGACACACACACTCGAATATGTAAAACCGATTTCTAAAAAAACGACTTCTATAAAGTCGACCTAATTTCGTAGTGTAGACATACCCTTAGAGACCAGCTGTGCTCTGCAAATCTCCCCTTGGCAGGAAGGGGATGAAAATCCACCTGCTTATTTATAAAAAAAAACAATACAATTTATTAGGATAACTTACAAAAATAACGTAAACCCAATCGGCAATTAAACACCCACAAACCGAATGCTCTGCCCTTTGCTATGGCACACAGCAGGCAACACAACACAGGCAGGAGGAACAGGATTTATGTTGCATACTTAAAAAAAACCACACCTGAATGTAAAACAGGTCCTACTTCAGGGCAGAAATCTGAGAGGGCATGAGAAGTGGACACAAGAGTCCCCTTGGTTAAGGATCTGCCCCCGCCATGACTGGTGCTGCTCACGTGATTCTAGCTGGAGTGAAGACAGGGGTAATGCACAAGGTATTTGTGATTTCCCAGCCACAGGAGAGAGGAGCACACAGGCTCTCTCTATCCTCTTCTTCTGGTTGTGGCAGCTTCCCCTGTAGCAGCCGGACAGCTTCCCTGTAAGCCAGAAAAAACAAACAAACCTTTTTCTCTAGCCCAGTTTTACACCCATCCTCAGAGAACAGGGAGTTCTGTTCTCACTCATCTCCCCATTACGCCACCCAGACTTCTGTAGGGCGATCCCAGGCTGAGGTCTGGCAGTAGGCCAAAGACAAGCTGGTTCATGTCTAGATGGGGTTTGGACACTTAGAGTGAAATCCTAGCTATATGGAAGTTTTGCTTTGGGCCAGGATTTAACCCTAAACTTCCAGATGCTGCTGATTCCAGAAGTGGCACTTTTCCTTCAAAGCCCAGACCAACTCCACAGTCTGGCTCCCAAGGGCAGTCAGTCATGAGCTCTGATTCTCACCCCTCCTTTCCCTGGATGAGTTACAGGAAGTCTCTTACCAGGCTCTTACCGGGACATGGCGTAGTTGATCTGTGGCTGCCGGTGTCCATTAAAAGAGGACGAGGCTGCTATGGTGTAGGCACCCATGTTCTCAAACGTCAGCCAGTCACCAACTTGCAGTTCTGGTAGCTCCAAGCCATCTGCAATGCAGTCCGGCCCATCACAAGAAGGACCCCAGAGGCTGCTGCTGAACAAGGGGTGATCTGGGCTGTGTTTCTGCAGTGGGGGTGGGGCGTAAAGGAGATGGACATCACAGGAGACCAAGCTCGTAAATGAAATAATCGGACCAAAGGTCAGATCCTCAACTGGCGTAAATCAACACTTCTCCACTAACTGCAATGCAGCCACGCTCATTTACAATGGAGCCATGTGGATTTATACCAGCCGAAGATCTGGTCCTAAAACTGGAGTAACTCCATGGAAAACCAATCCAAATTGACCAGACTAGCTATCGACTAGTGCAGGCCCAAAATGTAGGCTGCAAAAAGTGAGTTTTATGGAAAAAATATTAGCAGAAATGTTCATATTTTAACGACCTTAAGGAAAAAAAAGAGAGGGGAGAAAGAGCAGTTTGTGTGGATTTTAATCAACCCAGACATTGCAGCACCAGTACACAGGAAGCGGAAAGTTCGAGGGAGTGAAGGAACAGAAATGGAACGCCGTCTGTCTGGACTGTCTCCCTGAGCTAAAGGGGAGAATTAACTCTGTCAATGGCAACAGCTTTGTTTTAATGGTATATTCCAGTTTGATCATCTCCGCTACTAGTCACATCTCTTAAAGCTATATTTGTCACTTGTGTCTGTCCCTTTAATCCTTTCCTGAACACTCCTTGTGAGCAAACAGACACTGGGTGCGCCTACACTGCGGTCAGAGGTGACTGCAGCCCATGTAGAAATATCCAAATTAACCTGGATCTAGCTGGCTGTACAGGCCCACCTAGGACCCTGGGTACTCACGGTGCTGCCGGGGTTTCACTGCTATTGTTATTGCAGCTAGCTCACATACGTCTACAGGTGCTGGAGTCACAGTGTAGACATGCCCACTGTATGCATGGTTTTACCCAGTGCTGCTAGTTAGCACGTGGCTGACCCATGGGCCACATTCAGGTCTTGCTACAGCCCAGCTGCGATTCTGAAATCCCTGCAACTGGCTCTGAAGCTTTAAAAACCTCAGTTTTTGCTCTGCGATGCCTGGTTGATCAGAGAAGGCACTCACTGGCATTTTGGAGCCAACATGTAGAGCCCTGCAAATCCGCGGGTATCCGCTTTATATCAGCGGACCATTTCTGCCGATGGCTGTGGATGCGGATACAAATTTTGTATCTGCGCAGGGCTCTGATGGTAAGAGCTGGGCAGGCAGCTGCGAGGAACTGCAGCATGGATCCTCCGCCTGCCCTGGGTGGGGGGCCGGGGCACTGGGCATGGGGCTGCCACAGCTCCCCACAGCTGCCAGCACGGCTCTCTCTGACCCGGCCACGATAAAAGCCGGGCTGGCAGCTGTGGGGAGCCGCGATGGACCCTCCACCTGCCCTGGGCGGGGGGCCCAAGCAGCCCCGGGGCAGCTCCACAGGTCTCCCTCCTCTCCTTGGCAAGGCCAGCATGGAGCCCAGCCGGAGAGCCATGGGGAACCACAGCAGACCCTGCACCTGCCCGCGGCGCAGAGCGGGGAAAGAGGGGAGCTGAGAGCAGCCCCTGGCCGTGTCCCTGCCCTCCAGGATCCCCACCCGGCCAAGGGCAGGTGGAGGGTCCGCGACCCTGCGCGGGCTCCCCACAGCTGCCCGGGGCTCTCTCTGAGCGGGCTCCGGCAGGGGAATGCCTCGGAGCCTCAGCCCGCCCCCAGTGTAGAGCCCTGCAAATCCACAGATAGATGCGGATATCTGCAGATAAGTTTTGTGGATAGCGGATCAGATGTGGATACACATCTGTGTATCCATGCAGGGCTCTCCCAACATGAAAACTTGTTAACGATGCTTCAGAATAGGTGTCAAGGATTCAACAGTGTATTAAAAAGAACCATGGGTCGGTACAGGAATTCGAGATCTGCCCAGGGTCCGTTGCACTGCTGCGGCCAATGCCAAGCTATCAATGGTCTGATACTCTGGGGGCTGATCTCTGGTGTCCAATCACTCGGAGGAGGGCAAAAGCCTTTGAAGGGCTCGTTTGTGATGAAACTGGAGTTAGAAACCTTAGCCCAACGTCCTCCTGCGGGAAACACCACCGATTTCCACGGAGTCACACCCGGGATGAGTTGAACACATTCTGCCTTGCCTACACCGTCCTCTGTATCACAAACAGGCTGAGCTCAGGTGAGGAGTGGGATAGATGTGGGAGGGAGGAAGGGAGGCTAGAGCCATGCTGGGCACCTGGGGAGGCAGGGAGCATCACCCTGACAGCGTCTAAGGGCTTGGCTACCCTTCCAGATGTAGGGCGCTTGGAGTTAAACCAGCCTTCGCAGAGCGCAGCAGGGAAAACGCGGCCGTGCGTTTACACTGTCAGCTGCAAGCGCACCGGCGTGGCCACAGAGAGCAGAGAGCGCCGTGGTAGCTATCCCAGTGCGCAAGTGGCTGCAACGTGCTTTTCAAATTGGGGGTGGGGTGGAGTGTGACAGGGAGTGTGTTGCGTGTGTACGTGGGGGGAGAGAATGTGTTTTGCGGGGGCTGAGAGCACGTCAGCATGCTGTCTTGTAAATTCAGACAGCAACAGACCCACCCACCGCCCCCCCCCCACACACACACACACTCACAGCCTTCCACACTAATGGCTGCTTTGTCCCGGAGCAGATTAGCAGCCGGCTGTCAGAAATGGAGCTTTGAAAGGGGATATCCGCATGCCTGCAGCCGATTTCAAAGCAATGACAAGAGTGGCCACTTGACTTCAGGGGATTACGGGACGTTTCCGGAGGCAAGTCACAGCACAGTAATGCAACCCCTCGTTCACACTGACGCCCGGGGGTTTCAGCCGGGGTGCAGCAAGTGTTCTGCTTCTCGTGGAGGTGGATTGCCAGGAGCGCTCCAGCGTCCCAGCGCTCTATGTGCCTTGCCAGCGTGGACGCGTCAGGAGTTAGGGCTCCCGGAGCTGCTTTAATGCACTCTGACTTGTAAGTGTAGCTAACCCTTAAGTTGCTCTCTAGTGAAGACAGGCTACTAGGGAGACACTGCAGGGAGTTACAGCCTAAGGCTCTCACCAAAGAGCTCGGATACTCAGCGTGGGGGAAAGAAACCCCAGAGACTGAGCATGGGAACAGAGCGTCCCGGAGGAAAGGCAGGAGGTGCAGCTGGGGAGAATCCCAGAAGTGGATCAGACCCTCCACTGAGGGCTGAGTTATTTTGGTCTATTGTGTCCCTCTTCCTCCAGGTGGAAGGGACACTTACCTTGTGCAGGATGGGGCTGGGGCAGGTGTGATTGAAGAAAATGCAGCTGAAGGATCCATAGATGCCATCGTTAATGTAATACAGGATGCTCTTCTTGCTGCCAGACTCTTCATCTGGGAGATAGGGATAGAGCAGGGAAGGCAGATTCAGCAAAGGGTCAATTCACGTGTCAAGCTTAATACTTTGAGCTCTTGGGACTGGACAAAGATGCCCCATTTGAGGGGACTTTGTCAGCTGGACGTGGCTTTTGAGGGGTGACCAGATACTGACCCGGCTGAGGGCCACACAGAAAATGAGAACTGAGGCCTGAATCAACTGCCATCCATTTTTCCTGCAGTCACTACTGCCGTCCAATATCAAAACAGGTCCACTTTGGACTAGTAGGATCTGAACTACTGAGCAGTTGTATGCTGGTTGGCTCTCAGCTCTCATCTTTCCTAGCAAAAGGTGTTTGGCCCGCAGTTCAGTTACCCATCACAGCAACCTGCTGCCTCCCCGGGGGCTCAGCACTGCAGGAAGATGCATCATTCCACCTGCTCAACCTACCGTCTGAGCCAGGCGGATCCAAGGGAACCTCCTGCTTGTCAACAACATTGACAGCCAAGGTAAAGGCAGAAGCTACATAGTATCGTCCTGGTTTGGCGATGATCTCCACCCCACAGCCTTCTGGGAAATACAAGTCCAAGGCAGAGTTGATCGTGGCTGCCATCTGATTGGTAGAAAGGGGGTGGGGTGGGGGGGGGGAAGAAACCACAAACATTGTGGTTGGTTATTCCAACATTTATTAGTTAACCACCCTTTCAAAATAAAGGCCAGAGATTCAAGCCCAGCTGAGATACCAGCTAGGACTCCCTCCCAGCTGCCTTCTCTGCCTAAAGAGAACACAAACGGTAATCTTTATACCTCTTCAAACCGGACTTTAGAATTTTCAGTGCCAGGGAATCCACCTCCAATGTCTAATAAGTGCATCTTGTAGCCCAGCTCTGCACCCATTTCAAACACCAGCCGAGCATCTGCTATGGACCGAGAGAAGGCTTGCAGGTCGGGGCAGTCACTGCCAACATGAAAACTAAGGGGGAAGAATCCTTAATTTAGTCTGGGTTAAGCCCCATCATCCAGCCTCCTCTAATGCCAGAGCGTTGAGAGCAGACTTGGGAAAACAGTGCAAAATGTTATTCACAAATAATCATTCTATAGGAGAGTTATGCTCTTTACACACACCGAGAGAGAGAGAGAGACTTACAGTCAGAATAACCTTTCAGAATAAAGAAAAGCAAATATAAACCTTCCAGTGGAGAGCACAGTGTGTGATTTCTCCTAGAACTCTCTGCAGACTAAGTGACTCCAGCAAGGCCCTTAAATATCTAGGCTGGGAATTTCAAAGAAGTTAGGTCTCTATTTGCAATGACTTTCAACAGGAGCTGATCCTCTAACTCCCCTAGGATCCTTTGAAAAATATCAGCCTTAAAAGGTGCAATACATAGAAAGAAAAGGCATACATTACAGAGATTCACTCTTGTGATAAATTTAACTAATTTTGATCACACCCATGACCTTCTTGTGTTTAATCGTAATAATTTAGCTTGAAACATTTTTAGTTGTGAAACCAAAACCCTCAAGTGCAAATTTTTAGTTTTACACCCAAATATGCAATGCAAAATTTGCTTGGTTATTGGTTAGTTCCCCAACTCACCCAATCAAGGAACAGAAACAATACCACGTGACTTGGAGAACCAACCAACAGCGTGAATGTCCAACACTTGCAATTTGCAAACAATCAGTAAGCGGAAATCCTTGTCTGAAGAAATTAGGGGAGAGTGTCATAATTAACGTGGAATTCTGCCATCTGTTCATGGGCTATTGGTGACAAGAAATAGAGGAGAAATCCCCCAGTGAATGCACTAGGATTGATTTGCCCAGGTTTGGTGATCAGACAGACCCTCCCAGATCCATGAAGTTCAGTGCAAGTAAAGGTTTCAGAGTAGCAGCCGTGTTAGTCTGTATTCGCAAAAAGAAAAGGAGGACTTGTGGCACCTTAGAGACGAACCAATTTATTTGAGCATAGCTTTCGTGAGCTACAGCTCACTTCATCGGATGCATACTGTGGAAAATACAGAAGATGTTTTTATACACACAGACCATGAAAAAATGGGTGTTTATCACTACAAAAGGTTCTCTCCCCCCACCCCACTCTCCTGCTGGTAATAGCTTATCTAAAGTGATCACTCTCCTTACAAGAGAACCTTTTGTAGTGATAAACACCCATTTTTTCATGGTCTGTGTGTATAAAAACATCTTCTGTATTTTCCACAGTATGCATCCGATGAAGTGAGCTGTACCTCACGAAAGCTTATGCTTAAATAAATTGGTTAGTCTCTAAGGTGCCACAAGTACTCCTTTTAGTGCAGGTAAAGTTAGGGTTCAGGGGCTGTGCTTATGTCAGTTTAGGGAGAATCAGGCTTCACGGTATGAGGATGCCACCCTGTACCTGATGCCAACAATCTCCACATTCATCTCCTTTGCAGTTTCTAGTAGGTGTCTGCAGGACTTGAGGGTGGCACCAAATTTCACGCTCAGACTGGCAGAGGATCTGGGGTTGTCGGTGGTGATGCACAGAACCATCCTGTGGAATGAAGTTACACCAGGTCGGTGTCCCAGCTCTTCATCTCCCACTCCCCAATTACCATGCAGGCCAAGGTATGCGATTTCTCCAACTCTTTACTGAAGCCAGCCCTAGTACATGGAACATGAACATGCTATGAAAATACATAAAGGTCCTGCCCATAACAAACGTCACGTTCAGTCTCTAGAGGAGATTGAGAGACTGACCTTTGGTCCATCTCTGTTTCCAGCCTCAATAGCCTCCTTCTTCCATACCCAGAGAGTTTATATACAAACCTGGCATGTGGATGGCTCCTTGCCACTTTCCCGAGCTCTACTTCATTGTCGAAGGCCATCAGCTGCACCCCGTGGCTGGCTGCGTATTTGATCTGTGAGATCTGTTTGCAGGGGTTAGTGTAGATAATCTTGTCAGATGGGACCCCAATGCTCTGAACTAATGCAATCTCCGTCTGCAACAAGATAGAAAAAGCATTATTAGCAGGGTGTATGGATCAGCCCCTGGGGAACTCAGTGTTGTGGGATACAAATTGTTATGAAATCAAGGGCTCCAGGCCTGGGACATTCTAATGCACGTTGTGGGTTCACCAAGGGTAACTCACCAGGATTCAGGCCTGGGATTCTCCTGGGAACCAGACACAGATGAAGAAAGTGGGTTTGCCCACAGGGCTCACGGTGGACTGTGTGTCTGGAGCGAGAGATAGCAGTAACACATCACTAGAAACACAAGACCAAGGAAGGTAGGTCTGTAAAGGCAGGAGGCAAGCTGGATGGACCAGATTACCACAAGATATGTAATAAAAACACTGCCACCTAGCCCTCATCCATTAGGCCAAAATCCTTCACATGGTGTTAGGAGGAAGAAACGAGCATCTCTCCCCCTGCTAGTTGTTTAGAGCGCATTCAGGCTGCGTGGAACTCTGTTCATTGTCATGGCCTCTCGGGCTTTGTTGTTTTCCCTTAGGCTTTGTTCTTAAGACATATAAATACATGCCACCTTGGCAACCTGTTCCTCTGAATCACAAATAAATAAATAGCCTTGCTTTGATCCACCCAAAAAACCCGTTAATGAGACAAGAGGGAGCTTCTGACTCAGCCTTGAACCCACATAAGAGTGGGCCGTGGCAGCATGTCCCAGAAAAAACCAACACACTTAGGACATGCCTCGTTACAGATGGATTCTGCTGCCCAGGAGACATGTAAAACAAGGAAAGAATTTGGAACACCCAACTGCGGGAAGCAGATTTTCCAGAATGCACTATTACTGTTTTGCCGGAAGGGGGAGACTCCCTCCAATGTAAATGCAGCATGGGAAGCTCCAGACTAAGTTTAGGACTCTGCAATCTGCACTAAGCTTGTTTAACATTTGTGCTGCCATACCGTGCCTTGGCTAGTTCCCTCACCACCTTCCAGGGTACAGATCTAGCCACCGCACCCCAGGGACATTGGGGCCCAGAGTTGTTCTTCTTTCCCCTTGTTCCTACCTTGCTAGCACAGTCAAATCCTGCCCCCAGCTCAGCCAGCGTCCGCACCACTCCTTTGCTGCTGTTGCACTTAACAGCGTAGAAAGGTTTGACGTGGGGCAAGGCCTTCAGGAAGTGCAGGTGTTTCTTCACTACGTCCCCCAGGTCTGCCACAAAAAAGGCCCCTTTGTCGCTCTAGAGGGAAGAGACTGGAGTTGGCAAACAGTGGTCTCAGCGCCCCTCCCTCCCTCAAGGAAGGAGCGTTGCAGAGTCTTCATGAAGCAGCAAAGGCACCAGACTCAAAACTGAGAGCCTGATTCTCCACTCACCCCACAGTGATGCCAGTGGAGTTACTCCTGATTTACACCCGCATAAAGAAGGGGCGAATCAGGCCCTAAATGTCCAATGATCAAGGTCCCTCCAATTTGGGGGCTTGCTAAGACTCAATCTTTCTGGTACTGAAATCAGTGAAGTCTGCAAATGATGCCCAACAGCCAAGTCTTGCAACTGACGGCCACTGGTGCACACCCCGCCCAGCTGATGTACGCGCCATCTGCGTCGAGACACCAGCAGAATGCCCAGTGTGACAAAGAACTCCACGCTCACAGCTGCTTCAACACGCCCAGCGCAGGGGTTGGCTCTGCTGCGCGTGGGGCAACTACATGACACGAAGGGGTGTAGCTTGAGGGCAGTTAGTGGTAACCTGCGATTGATGGATACCAGCACAAAGCCTCAATTAGGAATTCAATATGGTCTTCTCAGAGCTGCAGCGAGATTCTGGTGGGACTCAGTCCACCACTGGGAAGAACGGGCAGGAGCGCACCCCTGAGGTGTGCCACACACACACACACAATCAAATCAGCTCTTTTAATTTGAAGAGAAGCAAAGGGCTAAGAATGAAGCCCAGGAAAGAGCCCTACGAAGCATAAGAGAGGGGGAAAGTGGAACCGATGAGATATTTTTAGACAAAAAGAGATTTTTAGAAATGTGATTTTCCTTTGTTTCTTTTCCCCCAGTCCACTGGCAAATAACTATCTGTTCCCCAGATCAGACTATTATCAAGCCCAGCAGGCAAGAAAACCCTTAAAACACTAACAGTTGGAATATGACCTTCTTCCATACCATACACTGATATTCGAATTAGGTCAAAAATAGGACGAGAAATTCCACAGAAGTGCTGGCAAATTCAAAAGCATTTTCCATCCTGTTGTATAACTATCTAGCAACAATGTCACCACGGTCATTTTTAAGTGGGAGCATTTTCATTAAGGTGCATTTTAGTGGGGGAATCACCCAAACCTGGGCCTGATTCTTAATGACACAAAGGCCCTTTGACACCACTGTGGCAATGCAGCGAGGGGTGTAATTATGTTTATATCCACTTTAAAGCCCCCTCACACTTCCAGCGTGGTGGAAAGAGGCTTCAGTGTAACTGAGAATTCAGGCCCTGGTCTCTGCAATGCAAGTCTCCTGTCCCCAACAATACAAAGATTCCACTGCCCAGTTCCCTCCACTCTGGCCCTAAACCAGTGGTTCTCAACCTATTTACCATTGCGGGCCGCATATGCAACTCTCTGTGTATTACGTGGGCCACATCCACACAATCTACATACTACCTGTGTGGACATCAGGATGTCACATGGGCTGCAACTGTGTGCTGACTGGGCCACAAACGGCCCCAAACCAACTAAGATAGGCAAGCCCAATGTATGCACACAAGCACATATGGCTAACTTATAGGCACATGCAAATCAGGTGTTTGTATGTGCATATGTCCAGTTAAGTATCTAGCCAGCCATTCCCACAGATGTGCACACACAAAAATTGAAAACAAAATTCTGCCCCCGCTTCACTGTCCAGAAGAAGTTAAGTGTTGTGAGATGCTGAGAAATTGCACTAAAGCGTCTCAAATCCTTATGTGTCAGAGGAGAGTGACAGTTAAATAGCCCCCCTACAGTTAGATGCCACATGACATAGGGGCCAGTGGATGGGAAGGAAGGGCCCATAGAAGCTAAGTGCCCCTTACCGTCTGGGAGACCTCCATGAGGAGATTTTCAAGGAGGTCTCTGGTGGTGAAGCCCTCCTCCACCATCATAAAGTCTGATTCGTCCAAGTACCCACTCATCATCCAGATCTAGGAGAATTGCTAGTTCTAAAGCCTCCTTCAGTAGGAAGTAGTTTCTAAGTATGCAACACACTGTAAAGAAGGAGGAAGAGTGTTAGTGGGGTTTCTGGGTCCACCCCCAGAGACCATCCCCATCCGGCACTTTCTCTAAGGCCTGGTCTACACACAAACTTGTACTGCTGTAACTAAAGGTGTAATTTTATACCGATTCAGTTAACCAGTGAAACTTTGTATGCGGACGCGCCTCGACAAAGCTGAGCAAGTAACAGATTTTTATTTTTATTTTTTTTTAGTTCATTGGCACTTTCAAAAAGTTGAAGAATCATTTTGGGTCAAAACCATTTCATTTGGAATTTGAAAATTTTTAAAATGTTTGATTTTTTTTTTTTAAAGTTAGGAGATTTTGAAACAAAAAATTTCAAACCAAACAATTCTAAACATTTTGGTTTTTTAGAATGTTTTTTAAAACCAAAACAATTCATTGAAATTGACAAAGTCATGAAACATTTCACTTTTGCTGGACCTGTATTTTTCATCCCCACCCAAATATTTTGTGCAAAAAATTTCACCCAACTGTACTCCTCTATGGCACTAAACTGGGTTTATATCACTTTAGCTTGTGCCAGTAACTTTACAGGTGCGAGCTAAACTAATATAACCAGATTTAAACAGATATACAAGTCCACACACAAAAGCTGCATTGGGTTGAATTAAACTGATTTAAGTTAAATTTAAGTTGTGTGTTTGAACAAGCCCGGAGTCCTGTCTCATAGCACAGACTCTTTGATAACTTATTTATTACAGCAGTGACTCGGCTAATTAAGATTGCCCCGTGTTCTCAGTTTCTTATAAAATTTCACATTTCAAGCTGAAATTAACAGTTTGGTCTCTGCTGGGAAATTATTTTTTTGGGGGGTGGGAGAGGAGTTTGAGTAAAATTAGTTAAGCTATTTGGAGTCGGATACACACACCCTTACCACTCCCCACGTTCCCCATCAAATTGAAAACAAAAAGAAGCTGGAAGATTTGCTTTTAAAAGACAGCTCTAGTGGCAGAACAATATTGTGTTTGTAGCACAATGTGGTCTTGGCCCATGGCTAGAGCTTCTAGGTGCTTGTGCAATACAAATAAATAATAATTGGGAAGAAACTATAAATCTGCAGGGAAATAACCCACACTGAGGAGCTGTGCCATTGAGTGAGTGGGTCAGGACTGGCTGCAGTCTGAATCATTCTGTGCAGGACATTTTGTGAAGTTTAAAACACCAGGGCTGGCCTTACCATGAGGCGAACGGAGGCGGCCACCTCGGGTGCCAGACTGGGGGGTGGGTGTGCCACTAGGTCCCAAAGTTTCAAAGTTTTGGCCCAAGCGAGGGGGCATGGGGGGGCGTCATTTGAGCTCCCTGCCTCAGGTGCCAAAATGTTGTGGGCTGGCCCTGTAAAAACACACTCAGTTAAGCAAGGCCAAACTGGCTAACTTCAATTCGCTGTGAAAAAATGGAGCATGTGTGCCTGTGCGTGTGTGCAGTGATTGAGGCAGGGTTCCACATGAGCCCTTGCCTCCTTCACTGTGCACGGGGTAGGCTAAAATCTGCACAGATCCCAAGGGTCACATCACAAAAGAGGAGGCTCCTATCACTAGGTGGGAAAGATGTGCCAGATCTAGTGTGTTGGATGTCTGGACAAACATCCTAGTTTTTTACAGGGAAAATATAGACTCCATAATCGGGAAGTTCCCCCAGGAAAAGCCTACACTCAGAAAACATGAAGGTTGCACAGTTAAGTTCTCAGAGATCAGGAGGTACCAGTGTGCACACAGCTCGACGGTTGCCTTCTTTCACATATAGCATATAACAGTCTTTAATGAGATGACCACACATTGCTGTGCTTCTTAGACACGGTTCAATATCACATTTCTCAACAGACTTACTTAGATACATGCATGTAGCTTTGTGTCTCAGTTTTACTCTTGTATATTGGCAATGGGCCAGTACCTCTTAGGTGACAGACCTTTTAGCGAATAAGTTTGCTTCTATAAAGGACATAGTTTAATAGTTTCAGCAGCAGCCATGACTATATGGTGTCTTTGCAGCCTCCTTCAGGTGATGCCCAGGCAATGAATGGTGCAGTTAATGACAAAGCTAACTTAGCTGTAAACTTAAATTGCCAATGTATGCCAGAACATATCCCCTCACACTCTCCTATATAGGGCTCCACCTCCCATGTGTTATGCCAGGATTCCCAGTGTAGTTTTCCAGGAGATGAGTTTCATGGACCTCATTTCCCAAGCACACACAGACCAAGGCATGCCACTAAAATGGTGCAGCAGCATGAATATCTTTAGAAAACCTGAGTAGAAGATCGCATGGTTTGCCAGCCAGTCATGGAATTAAACAGGCCAGGCCAGACCCTTAACTGGTATTAACCAGCGTAGCTCCTTTGACTTCAATGGAGCTACGCCAGCTGGAGAGCCAGCTGCGGCATCGTGCATACATACAGGGGGCAGAGTTAAGGATGCACACTGATATTTCCCCCCCAATGTCAATGCTGAACTGTGTAGCCTTAATGATCTCTTGCCTTATATTAACTCCAGCCAATAATCTAAGGATGTTAAGACACCACAAAGGCTTGCAGGAACTGGTTTCTGGTCCCAGCTCTGACTCTGGGGGGCCTTCGCTTTTCAGCCCTGTGTCTTTTGGGTTAACGCGGTCGCCCTTATCTAAAGTGATAAAAATAATCCCCAAACTCTACTTCTGAGAGCTGCATAGCCTCTCTCACTCTCTGCAGAGCTTTGCTTGGGCAATTCCTAGTGCAGGGTGAAGGGGCAAACCACACTCTGATCTAAGAGCTGCAGGCCCAAGACACACTATCTTGTAACGGATCAAGCAAATAATAATGCAAGCCAAAGAAAGCTCTCCCAGGAGAATGGAGCAAATACATTGAAATTATTGAAACTTTGCAGCTGGGGAGGGAGAGTTTAGAGGGGACAAGAATTCTTCTGGTTTCTTCCCACCCAAACACATCAATGACCTTCATCCCATCCATCATCTTGAGCTGCATGGGCACAGGACTGATAAGCAATAAAGGTAGGACCAGATCCTGTCTGACTCAGCCTGAACTGGATACAAGAGAACATGCAGTATACCCTGTCTCTCTCCCCCCACCCTCCCCAGATGTTTTTTCCTTACCGAGTTCCAAAGCCTCCTTCCTGGGGGGCTAGGTGTAATACCAGGGGGGCTCTCCGGTGAACTCAGAGCTTTTGCAACTCCCCGAGGCACAGGTGCTGCTGGGGATCCGAGATCTCTACAGGGGAAAGAGTGCAAGTTCCAGCAGGTTATCAAGAGGGATCAGGTACATGCACACAGCAGAGCAGTCCCCTCCCTAACCATTCCTATGCCTCTGTTTCCTCTGCTCCCACCTGGCACCCAGCCATCCTCCTCATCACCCCCCTCCTCACCTCCTCCCAGCCAGTCCAGCTGCCCCAGAAAGGCTCCCCCAACCCTTGATTCCTCTGCTCTTGCTGGGAACCTGCCTCTCCTCTGTTACCTTAAAAAGCATTTAAACGGATTCTGCCCATGGGTCTCCCAAGAGAGTGAATTGGCTTCAGCGGTGGTTGTTCCTCCTCCTCCACTCCCAAGCCTACACCATGCAAGCAGCACCAACTAAACCTGCCCTCCTGGGGAGGCTCTGCCACCCCTTATATACACAGCTCCCGCCCACCTCTGACTCACAAGAGTGGCCTTGGCAACCAAACTCAGCAATCCTATTGGCTGAGTCGGATACAAAGCACTCTCTATGGCATCCCCATTGAAAGCAGGCAGCTGGGCAGGCCCCAGTCTGCTGAGGGGGCAGTGTGCAGGCTGCCTATGGGGCATGAGGACAAGGCTCTGATTGCTCTGCACCCAGCTATCGATTCGCTGACAGACAGGCAGCTGATCTCCCCGACTGCTGGAGCAGAGCCTTAGGAGCAGGCATGCAGTATAGCCCTGGCAAGAAGCCACTCACTCATCTGGGCAGTAATGCAGAAATAACATGAGCTGTGTGGCGCTGGAAAGTCCCAGTGGGGAGAGGAATAGGGCCAAAGAGGGCTTTGGGGATGGGAGGAGGACAAAGGCCTCCTGCAGCTTAAACACTGGGCAGTCACCAACACGGTTATTTCTTTGGTGATGCCTTGAATCATCCCAGACGGGTGAGACTCCATGGGCTCCTGACAGCTTTACTGAACCGCTGTGGATTTCAGCGGCTTGACTCCAGGGCTCCTATTTAGGGCCCTACCAAATTCACGGTCCATTTTGGTCAATTTCACAGTCATGAGATTTTAAAAATAGTAAATTTCATGATTTCAGCTATTTAAATCTGAAATTTCACGGTGTTGTAACTGTAGGGTCCTGACCCAAAAAGGAGTTGTGGGAGGAGGGGGGTCGCAAGATTATTGTACGGGGGGTTCGTGGTACTGCAACCCTCACTTCTGTGCTGCGGCTGGCAGCGGCGCTGCCTTCAGAGCTGGGCAGCTGGACAGCAGCGGCTGCTGGCTGAGGTCCCAGAGCTGAAGGCAGAGCCGCCGCCAGCCGCAGCACAGAAGTGAGGGTGGCCTAGTCTGGTATTGTCACCCCTACTTCTGTGCTGCTGCTGGCGGGGGGCCGCCGTCAGAGCTGGGTGTCCGGCCAACGGCCGCCGTTCTCTGGCCGCCCAGCTCTGAAGGCAGCGCAGAAATAAGGGAGGCAATACTGTGACCCCCCCCCCCGCAACTCCCTTTTGGGTCAGGACCCCAGTTTGAGAAATGCTGGTTTCCCCTGTGAAATCTGTATAGTATAGGGTAAAAGCACACAAAAGACCAGATTTCATGGGCAGGAAGACCGAATTTAACGGTCCGTGGCGCGTTATTCACGACCATGTATTTGGTAGGGCTTATTCATATTGCTTCCAGTCTTAGGAGCCTCCCCTCTCTGGAGTGGTTTCTCAAAAATCCCTGGACACACTGTGAACGAGCTCTTCTGCGTTCCCTGGAGTTTCAGGATAACACACTTCCCTCCCTGCTTGAGATTTGATGATGGTAGTGGGGGAGGTGGGGTGATTTTGGCTGCTGGGGATCTGAGATCTCTGCAGGGGGACAGAGCAAGTTCCAGCTGGTTCGCACGCGGGACCAGGAACATGCACAGAGCAACACAGTCCCTTCCCCACCCATTCCCAACCCCGTTTCCACTGCGGCTACTGGGCACCCAGCAACCCTAGCTGTCCTCCTCACTGAACCCCCGCAAGAAAGGCTCCCCCACCATCCCCATCCTCTTGCCTCCTCTGTGCCTGCCAGTCCATTTAGACAGGCTCCCCCCTATCCTTCCCTCACCCCCGACTCCTCTGCTCCTGCTTTGGTTGGCGTTTTGTAATCTGTTTAGTCTGCGCTGGTATAAAGTGTCTCTGCGAGGGCTGCTAGTTCAGTGTAACAATCAGCATGAGTGGTAGAGAGGCAAATAAAAGAGAGAGACAGATCCTTGGCTATTTGCAAAGTGCCCTCTCTACCACTTCCACGCCCCTTCTCTACACCAGCTCGGTGCAGCTAGCACCTGCCTGCCACGTGGCTGTCACCAATTCAAATGTAAAAATCGGTTCCTCTGAGCTTTATCCATAACATGTGTCCCACATCTTGTTTATTTGCACTTGGAAGGAGCACTGGCTCAGCAATCACCTCCCTGTCTTTCAGCTGTTGTGGTCATTCCTGAGATGGTCTCATTGAAACTGTAAGCTTTTTGTGGCAAGGTCTGCGTCTTTTCATTTCTGTAAAGTACAGTGCGAGTTTTCATGCTGTTCTGGTCGCCCCATCTCAAAAGATATATATTGGGATTGGGAAAAGTACAGAGAAGGGCAACAAAAATGATGAGGGGGATGGAACAACTTCCATATGAGGAGAGATTAAAAAGACTATGAGTGTTCAGTGTAGAAAAGAGATGACTAATAGGGGATAACATCAAGGTCTATAAAATCATGACTGGAGTGGAGAAAGCAAATAAGGAAGTATTCTTTACCCCTTCATAGAAAATAAGAACCAGAGTTTGCCCAATGACATTATTAGGCAGCAGGTTTAAAACTAACATAAAGAAGTACTTCTTTCCACAACTCACTGTTCACCTATGGAACTCATTGGCATAGGATGTTATGAAGGCCAGAAGTACAACTGGGTTCTAATAAGAATTAGGTAAGTTCATGGAGGATAGGTCCATTAATGGCTATTAGCCAAGATGGTTAGGGATGTAACCCCATGGTCTGCGTGTCCCTAAACCTCTGACCACCAGAAGCTGAGACTGGACGACAAGGGATGGATCACTTGATAAATTGCTCTGCTCTGTTCATTCCCTTTGAAGCCTCTGGCACCGGCCACTGTCACAAGACAGGATATTGGGTGAGATGGACCATTTGTCTGATCCAGTCTGGTTGTTCTTATGGCTGTGTCACTTCATAGTAAACCCTCTAGCCAAGAATGCGGTTTAATCCCAGATGAGGGGGAAGGAAAGCAGAAGCCCATTTCCCTCCATGGTCTAGCACAGGCTAGAGAGACAGGGAATCTCAAGTTCTAGTTAGAGTTCTGACCCTGACTCACTGTGTGGCCCTAGGCAAGACACTTCCCCTCTCCATGCCTCAGTTTCCCCACTGGGGATAAAAATATTTCCCTACCTCCCAGGCACGTTGGGAGGATCGGCTCTGTGACAGATGTAGCAATGTTCTGCAATATCCTTGAAATACCTTATTTAATTAAGTGAAGTATCTTTGGAGTCCATTGTATTAAATGCAAAGCTTATGTCTTATTGTAGGCCTGGGTGACCAAAGATGCTTTCCTGCCAACACAGCTACCAGCACTCATTGGGGGTGCTTTAATTATGCCAACGGGAGAGTTCTCTCCCATCAGCATAGAGCAGCTACATGGGAGACCTTACAGCACGGCTGCAGCGGTATTGCTGTAAGGTCTGTAGTGCAGACATAACCTAAGACTGTTATGAACTTGTAACCACAGAAAAAAACCCTTTGTGGGGTTTGAAGGACTGATTCCTACCAGAGCCTTGTTGGGGGGGGGGGGCGTGATCGCTGATAATCTTATTAGCATGTGGGTAGATTCTTTTATTGTTTTAAATACGTTTACTCTGTAATGCTTTCACCTAAAGAATAAAGGTGCTTGCTCATAAAGAGGCGTTCGGTAACCTGTTGGCATTTACAGCTGTCTATAGACTTCCAAGAGAAAGCTAAGCACAGACAGTCTGGCTTGCTGGGAATATCACAGCATAGGCACCGAAGTGTGGAGGCTGGACAGGAGGGAAGGAAACATGGGTCTCTATTCAAGAGAGATGACGGATGAGGAGCTGGGAGCCTCAAAGGGCTGCCCTTGGTGGACCACGAAGAAGGAATACAGGTGCAGTTACCCTGAACTGACAGGCTCATTCGTGTTTATGCAGCACTAAATGTTAAGGGCCTGAGCATGGTTATTTCTAGTTCTGGAGGAACCCAGTTCATGAGTACATTTCAGATGAAAGCTAATTGAATTAGCCCCGTTTATGTGGGGAATTAATCAGCAGCCGTCTGCTCCGTCATATGCTGGTTTGCTCTGGATAAGAGGATGAGCCCACTGCAAAGCGGTGACATTCGCCTTCAAGCCCAGACGGGGCTAGATGTCACTCTTGTCTCAGTGTCAGAAAACTGGCCAGAACAGCCTACCTGGGCCATGGAAAAGGCTCAGGCCCCCCTCAGAAGAAAAATGCTTAGAAAGAGGCATTATCACACACACCCACACCTCGCAGGCTACTCAGTTCCCATGCAATCCTGAATAACACAGAGCTATATTCTAGGCAGGATTGCTCTATAGTTATATTGCCATTTGGCAACAGGCCATATGAACCCAGGTGCAAGAGCTCTCTTTCCTTCCCTGTTCTGAGCCAGTTTCTGCTAAGCCAGCTGGTCATTGTTCATTTCCTTGGCTGCTTTCTTATCTGCCAGGTGCTTTCTAGCCCAGGGTGTCACAGAAAGCCAGGACCTCCATTACCAGAACAGTAGCTCTTGACTTCAGGGCAGATGGGTATTCGCTCCTCTGGAGCATGCTAGGGTCTGCCTGCTGATCAGAGGATACCTAGTGTCTGCAATACACAGGCATTCCTAAGAATTAAACTAGGGTTCACTCATGGGCGGCAAACCCCAGAGAAGAGGGTTGATTTCACGTTTGAGTAACAAGCCTGGGAACCAGGGCTCTGCCGCTGACTCCCCACATGACCTTGGACAGGACAATTCCCCTCTCCTGATGTTAGAATCCCGGTCTGTATGATTTG